TTTCTGTGTGTGTGTGTCTGTCTGTCTCTGTGTGTGTCTGTCTGTCTGTGTGTGTGTGTCTGTCTCTGTGTGTGTCTCTGTGTGTGTGTGTGTGTGTCTGTCTGTCTGTCTCTGGAACAGGTACAGGAACAGAGAGGCACGGACGTCCAGATTCAGATTTTGGAAATCTACCCCTACCACTGGCGCACCCTGAGGTTTTTTTCTCTCCCTCTGCTTGTCTGGCTTTTATTTTCAAGTGGTATGTTATTGAACTTGTTGCTGTTGCTGCCACTGTTCCGCCTTCATGTTTTGGGCGATTCCTTTAATGTCTTTGCATGGGAGCGCACAATAATTTCATTGCACATTATACACATGTGACAAATCAACTGAGCTGAACTGGACGGACTGTCAGGCCCTGGGCATCTCCTCCTCCCCTCCCAAACTAGTCAGCTGAACTCCACGTCAGCTCCTCCTGCAGGGCCCCTGGTTTATTCCACTATAGACACATCGCACAAGGAGTGTACACTCCAATCCCCTGTTTTTCATTTAAGTTGAATTAAACTGGGGTGCGTTTTAGTGATCCCTGTCTGTCTCTCTCGCCTTGCAGTAACGAACCCCTGTGACCGCACTGTCCCCATCCAAATCCACCGCACCGAAATTCACCGGGGCACGCCGTCGGCTGGGAAACCGGGCCTTCAATTTAGGGAGCCTCAGGACTCTAATCCTCAAGGAGCACTCGGTCAGTGCCGGGTGTTTTCGTTCCCATTGCGAAATCCCAGCTCCTCCGGGAAGGGTGGGACTTTCGGGGAAAAGAGTTTTATCAGCCTGTATTGCACAGGATGCACCTTGCCTGGGGAAGAAGTCACAAGACAGAGATGACAGCGACCCGACATCTTAAGACCGGATGTGAGACAATGCTTCAAAGAGGTTTTTATCTGCTCTGTTCCCTGACAAAGAACGGGGACTAACTAACCTGCCATCCACTGGCTCAGGTTGTAACAAAGTGTGCAAACATTTCGACAGATGAGCACTGGGACAGGACACGTCTCTCTGGGTGTTCTGGCTGTGCGTGTTTACTTTACTGAAAACAACCGCAAGATACTAAAGCGGTAATAAAGCTGACGCTGAAAAGAGTCATGAGACGCTTCAATCTAGCGGTTAGATCAGAGGGACTGTCTCCCAGCAGCTCTGCTCCTGTGCCCAGAAAGTCTGTTAACCTTGCAAACTGTGTTATTTCTTTCAAGGTTTGTCCCCGTTAGTTTGGAGTGGAGAAAGTCTCCGTTTCTTAACCCGGCTATTGTTTTTTTCCTACCTAATGCCAAGAAAAGTTTTTTTTCAGCGCGACCTCCGCGGTTGCGCTGCCCTCTAGTGGCGACACGTGATCATAACCAGAAAGCGCAAACGGCGCTTTCGACAGCGCCGTGTTTACAGATCCCATCCATTCATTTCCCCAGCTGCTTAAACCAATACAGGGTCGCAGGGAAGCAAGCAAAATTCAAGGCAGGTTACACCCGGGTCAGGGCTCCAGGCCATCAAAGTCCAACACCGACACACATACACACACAACAGGGCCAATTTTCCAACAACAACAACAACAACAACAACAACAACAACTATCTTTTATTTATAAAGCACCTTTCCTAACCCAAGGGCGCTGTGCATATTGATGAAGACAAAGACAAAAAAAAAGTATATTTAAAAGTAAAAGAAAAATATAAACAAGAATTAGAAGAAGCCAGTCAACCTTCCAGCATGTATTGGGACCGTGGGAGTAAACTGGAGCACCCAGAGGAAACCCAGCGAACAGAGGGGGAACATGCAGACTCCACACAGACAGCACCCAAGCCCTTCGAGGCAACAACGGTTTGCATCCATGCTGCCCTTTACAGATTCCTTTTAAAACTCTTCCTGTTTCCCCTCCCACAGAAGATGAGTGCAGGCTATTTAGGCGCCAAGCACAGGAACACCAACTGATTACATCAAACGTGCAACCTCTCTGTGTTGTTCCACTGACCACCGCAATGAAATAGGACAGCAAGGACAACCAGCGAATTCAGAAATCCAGCCCAGGGCGAAGGGCGCGTCCTTACAACAAAACGCACACCAGAAATTCCTGTTGCGACAGACACGCCAAGGCATCAGGTCAACAGAAGGCACTGCACGCAGTGCTGCACACTGTTGCACGACACACTTTTCGAGGTTCAGCCAAATAAACTGTGGACCAAACACAACATAAACAGATATCCTGAATCTGGACTATGTCCTTAGATAAAAGTGGCTGCAATTTCTCCATCAGCAGCACACAAATCCCATCACCTCCCGATCTCTCTGCTAGTGAAGGCTAAGTGCTTGGGGCACTGTGGGAGGGGCAAGGGAGGGGTTTCCTGGGCACCTGCAGGAAGAGCCAGGAGGTGTGAAAAACAGCAGAGCAAAGAGAGCCCGATTTATCCCCCCTACTCCTCCTCCTCCTC